AAAGCTGATCTTTCAGCTAGTACTACTGTGGAATATTTTGGTGTTGTATTTTGTTTGGCCAACTAAACTGCGTCAATAATTACATTTTTTGGCGGTGGCGAGTTTTGGCTGAGCTGCGAGGCATGAGGAATCTTAGTTACCTGACCAGGGATCGAACCTGTGCCCCCTGTAGTGGAAGCACGGAGTCCTAACTACTGGACCCCCAGGGAATTCCCAATAATTAAATTTTTTGATTAAAAAAAAAAGTGTATGTGAGGAGGAGAGAGGGGCCAAGTGTTGCCACCCTGTAGGGTAGTAAGAATACCCTTTAGTAGTTTGATACTATGTAGTTTTGTTGGAAGAGGGAATGATATTTGGTAATATTTTGTTTGGGTGATTAAGTAGCATTTGCAACTGCAAACTGGTTGAAATACATTAATACATTTTATCATCTAAAATGACATTAATGTCCTATGCTGCTGAGTCAAAAATTAAACTTTTAAGTATCCTTTTTGACATAAACCCTCAATTCTGCGCCGTTAGAGCAAATATTGAAAATGCAGAGTTTGGGCTCAGTGCTTAGCTTCTGACTTCCATTAAACAGCATCTGCTCTGCCTTGCTTTCTGGATGGCTAACTCTGCACTATCTTAGCTCTGTTTCCTATTTTGTATGCACTACTTTATAACCAAAGTCTTCCCCACTAACTGGCTTTAATTTTTTTCTTGTTATTCTAACATCTCACTTATGGATTTCCCTTTGTATCCTTATCTAAGATATCCTAAATGGTTGGAGGATTGCTGTCCAATTTAAACCACACTTAAGATAGGCATAGACTTGGACCCCAGAGATCCTATCTTACATGGTGGTGGAGATGGGAGAGGACTTAGAGAACTATGAGAGAGAAATACATAGTTATTAAATATAGAAAATAACTGTTGCTTTTTTCCTACACAATTTTTGTTATTAATTCTGTCAGAGACAGGATGTTTGCTGGATGTACCAGTAGTCTGACCTTAGATGGGCTTGAGATTTTGTTTATATTTTTAAAACCACAAAATTTTAGGTGTGGAGGTGGCTTTATGCTACCATTGGATAATACCCATCAGATTCCCTTTCTTCAATAGGACTTAACTCCATTGTCATTTCTTTCTATGATAACTTCCCCAGACTACCAGTCTCGCTGGGTTAGCCCCTCTCCATGCTCCTTTACCGATCTGTCAATCGATCCTCTATCAAGGCATGCATCACACCATATAGCATTTATTCGTATGTGTGTTTTCCCCTTTGGACTGTGAGCTATGTGAAGGCAGGAAATGGTATCTTTGACCACATATTTTCCAGGGCCTAGCTTAAAGCCTGGTTTATAGTAGGCACTTAATGAAGATTAACACCTCCATAGTAACACACAACTCCCGAATCTCAGTGGCTTAAGATGATCTTGGATTGGCAGAGACCCTGCTCTCTATTGCCCTCACTGAGGGAGGTAGGCTAAGGAAGCCTCTACAGACTTGGATACAAGTGAGTCATCTTAGCAGGGGATGGAGACGGTGAATCATGCTCCAGCTCTTGGTGTTTCAGCTTGGAACTGACATGTCACTTTCTCTCCTGTTTCATTGATCAAAGCAAGGGACATAGCCACACCTAATGTCATGGGAATGAGGAAGAATAGCACTGCTTTGTTTCTGAAAAGAGAGAACGGGAATAATAGTGAGCAACACTAGTGCCTGTTAAGCCAAAGTCTGATACATGGTAGGCACTTAATACCTAGTCAATGAATGAGGAACCTGAAACTACCTGTTAGGATTTTAATTTTTTTCCATACAATAAGCAGAATCATTCCAAGTAATGAAATAATCTAATAACTACATTAAAAAATGAGCATACTAAATATATTGTCTAAGCCATATTCAGCAAACATCTGGAGACTTTTTTTTTTTTTTTTTTTTTTTTTTTTTTTTTTGGTCTGTGGCCCTCTCACTTTTTTTGCCTCTCCCGTTGCGGAGCACAGGCTCCGGACGCGCAGGCTCAGCGGCCATGGCTCACGGGCCCAGCCGCTCCACGGCATGTGGGATCTTCCCGGACTGGGGCCCGAACCCGTGTCCCCTGCATCGGCAGGCGGACTCTCAACCACTGCGCCACCAGGGAAGCCCTGGAGACTTTTTTTGTAACCACTCTGTTCACTTTATTCATATTAGGGAAGGTGTTATGTTTGATTTTGCAGTTTTTTCAGATGCATGAAGTATGGAATGGGTAAATTTGCATAATTGTCATTTTTGCCTGAGTCATTTAGAAGATTTGGAGAAAATGTTGAAGTCTTCAAATATTTACGTATTTAGTCTGATGAAGAAGTTCTTTAAAGTAACCTTTTTCGGAAGAGTTAATATCTGGATCAAAAACTGGACAAGAGCTTAGGAAAATGAGAGTCTAATCAACTTAAAAATGAAGTATTGCTGCAGATTGTATGCTAATATTTTACACTAATTTTTTTTCTTCATTGTTAAGGTAACCCAAACACATTGTATAAAATGTGGAAAATACAAACTAGTTTGAGAAAGGTGAATTAAAAATCACTGGTGTGATTTCTTTTATTCCATTGTTCTTGTTATAGAATACGCATATGGACAAGGGAAGAGAAGATATTGGCTTGTAATGGGGGGTAACAGTGGAAATATCCAGAAATGATCAGATTGAGACTATGGATTAAGGACAATATTGATAGGATTTGTTGATGGATAAAATGAGGAAGGAGGGAATAGAGAAGTGGTAGAGATGGTAGAGGATAGAGGATATAGTGAGAGAGGGGATCAGTGATGATTCCCCAGATTTTCGCTTGAACATCTATGTGTAATCCACGTGTATATGTGGGTGTATATATAAGACTGCACTCATTGTATGTGTGGTTTTTAAAATTTACTTAACATTATATTAATGTATTTTTAATGGTATAAACATACCTTGAAATAAGATTTTAAATGGCTTAATATTCACTCATATGATATGCTATAGCTTTTGATTTTCTCCCTTATTTCGGGGGCAATTAAGGTGTTTTTTCCCCTTTAATAAATAACATGGTAATGTTCTCAGGATCCACCTGCTTCCTTGTCTCCTCAATTCAAAAATATTTAACTTGAGGGAATTGACCAAGGTTTGCTGGAATTTCAACATAGCAAACCAACATGTGATAAAGTTAGTCGGGAATAGAAGGAACCAAGACTAGAGGTCATCGTGGTTTCAGTCTTCCAAGGGGGCATGGTGAGATATAGCTCAAACCAGACTGGTGCTGCTTTCGAGGTCAGAATTGGTAGTGGCAGACAATTGCTGAGAGGGACATTTGTCTTGGATGCAGAGATGGCACTGTCCCCCAGGAATGAAAGACCTGGCAAGAGCCAGATGGCAGGGCCAGATCCCAGCTGGGAGGCAATTCTAAAGGAGAATCTCAAAAATTTTTTTGAGGTCCACTTCAAAAGACAATCATGCTTTTATCCATCAGGGTAGGGCTTTGGGTTGGAGGATAAGGTACCCAAGGCAGAGCTTCCTGTGGGAAGCTGCAGCTTTGAGGAGTATGAGGACTCAGCCCATCTCTAGGATTTAAGCAGCCAAACTGTTTCTTTGCCCCGCTCTCTGGGTAAGAAGCAGTTCCTTATTGGGCTGCCTGCATTTGCCCAGGAAATCTCTGAGGCTGACCAAGCAAGGTGAAGGTCCTCCATCTGTGGCTGGGAGGGAGTGGGGAAGGCTGTGATGGACACTGAAAACTTGCGTTCATTGAGTGTCTCACCTGTGGGGCGATGGGAGTCAGGAGGGGCTGGAGATACGATAGAAATACTAGAAAACCCTCTGCCTTAAACTTGTGTCTTGGTCACACGTTATGATTACTAACCATAAGTAATACTGTTTATATATAGTGCAGAGATGCAGTAACCAGTGTTGGAGGTGCCTAAGGAGTTGGAGGACCGTCTTAGCAGTACCTGAGTTCAAATTTATGTTTAAATTGTGTTTTCACTTTGATGATAACTTAAAGAAAATATTTTTATCCGTTTGAAATATAAAGCTTCACATTTACAGTGATAATTTGTGATTAAAAAGACATTTTCATAGACTAAAACTACAGTTTCTTACGTTAATATTGTTCAAACTAGGGTCCAAAACATATTCTTATGGGTACATCCATTAAAAAAATTTTCTTTTCATCGTGGAAAATAGAATCCTAATCTGATCCTGGAAGAATGGGTGGGTTCGGATGGGTGCAAAAGGAGAAAGGTGTTTCCATGAGAGGAGAGAGTTAGATCAAGGATGATCATGGTGCCTCTGGGATGCCTGGGAGCTTGAAGGATGCGTCAGTTTCAGGTTTTTAAATACTCCACCCTGACCCTGATATGTCAGGAATATGGGGAACACTCCTTCCTCTACTATTACCTACCTTTCTCTGGTGGATGCGGGAGCTTTATTAAGTCTTTTTGTTGAGAAGGTAACTCTCATAGTCCCCCTTTAAAGAATCATCTTCTAACCCTCATGTTATTGATCAGCGTCTAACACAAAATTTTCTTTCTCTGCCAGAATGTGAATTTAGTTTCCTCAGGACTTAACTTCTGAGCGGTTAATGATTCTTGCAGAGACATCTAAAGGAAGGCCCATTGCAGCATCCCTTTGGGTTTTTGCTAGGTACTCAGGAAGCAGGTGGTCCTCCAGGGACTAGAAAACTAAAGGGACATTGTCTTTTTTAGGTACCAACCTCATCTTGCACTTGTACTTGGTTAGGGATTTGTTCCTCTCAAATTTCATTGACGTCCTCTTGAGTTATTTTTCTTTTGTACAAGAAACATCCCAGATCAGTGGTCTTTATTCATCTTCATTTTGCAGGACAGCTTTTCTAGGTTTATTACTAAAACAGCATTTGTGTTTTTTAATTACAACAGATTGGACTGCAAACCTATTTGTACTGATGTAGGATGAAAAATGTGGTTCATCTTTTTAAATCTTCTTTGTTAAGTAAAGCTTTCTCTTTTTTTTTTTTCCTTTACAGATTCCAACAAGATTATGGCAGAGCAGAGCCACATGCAAAAGCAGCTGGATTTACAGAATGGTAGCTTAGAGGCGGGCTTTGTGGCGAATTCCCTCGAAAACGATTCCCAAAACATGATGGAGAGCCTGAGCCCGAAGAAATATTCTTCCAGTCTGAGATTTAAAACCAATGGAGACTATTCTGGTTCCTATTTAACCCTCTCACAACCTGTGCCTGCTAAAAGAAGCCCTTCTCCTTTGGGAACCAGTGTCAGAAGTAGCCCCTCCTTGGCCAAAATCCAGGGAACCAAGCAGTTCTCTTGCGATGGAAATGACAAAAATATTTCTGTGAAACCTCCCACCCCTTTACGCAGCACTTCACCCTCTCTTAGTGGATATCCACTTGGGAGAACAGACTTTGATCATTTTACAGGCCGGGACACTGAAAGGTCCTTGAGGCTTTCAGAGAAGCCTCCCTATTCCAAATACAGCTCAAGGAATAAATCCCATGACAATGTCTACTTTCTCGGAGGGCTGGAAGGCCGAAAAGCATCTGGCTCACTCTTGACCATGTGGAATGGAAGTTCCCTGGGTGATACTGGCTCCTTGCCCATCGGTAGGTCAGGGGCAGCCAGCATGCCTTCAAGCCCAAAGCAAGCCAGGAAAATAAACATCCAGGACAACCTGACACTTCAGCCCAAGATGACCAGACACAAGGATCTGGCATCTGAAAACATCAGTTTAAGAACTAGGAAGTACTCGAGCAGCAGCCTCAGTCACATGGGCGCCTACAGCCGATCTCTCCCCCGGCTGCACAGAGCCACAGAGAATCAGCTGGCACCTCTCAGTTTGCCTCCAAGAAGCTCTCTGGGCAATTACAAACGAACGAAACTGGGGGAAAAGGATCTACCTCATAGCATCACAGACAATGACAATTACCTGAATTTTTCTTCTTTGAGCTCAGGAGCTTTACCCTATAAAACCTCTGCCTCTGAGTGCAATCCTTATGTGAGTTCCACCCTCAGCGTCCCTGCCAGTCCTCGAGTGGCTCGGAAGATGCTTCTGGCCTCCACCTCCTCCTGTACCTCTGATGACCTTGATAGGGCTTCCTACTTGGGGGCCAGCCCAGGTCATTCATTCCCTCCCGGAGAGCTTGACAGAGCGTTTGCGGCCAGGAGGAACTACTCGTGTGGGTCTGTTGAGTTTGATGATGCCGATCCGGACAGCCTCAGACAGGCCTCAGGAACCCCCCAGCCTGTCCTTCGGGAACGGAAAAGCAGCATTAGCTCCATTTCAGGACGAGACGACCTGATGGATTATCACCGGCGGCAGAGGGAGGAGAGACTCAGGGAGCAGGAGATGGAGCGATTGGTAATCTTCTCATCTGACTTGACCTCACTGTTTCATTGAATAACTTCTTGGAGACAAACCCCAAGGATATATGCGTAGAATTTCCATGTGCACCAGCCACTGGCCCCTTCCTAGATTTCCTCCTGCTAACCTTCCTCTTCCCAGATCACTATTATTAGTCACAAATGGATAGTTTGAAGGCCTGCGTGTGCCTAATGTTATATTAAGTTGCTCTGCAGAGGTCTCACAAGTATAAATTCTTGATAAATCTAACAAAGATAGCTGTGAATTTTACTGAATTACTTTAAAAGTCTTACAAACTTCTCTCTTAAGACTATGAGGAAACACTGATTTGTATTATTTATGTCATCAAATTTGCATGTATATGCTATGATGGTAATAATCAGTGAAATGACAACTCATTGGAAATTAGGCAGTAAGTTTCTCTGTATAGCAAGTTGTCTGTAAAGTTGAAAGGTTGCCCCAATGGTGCTCAACCTTTTTTCTGCACTGTATATAGACACACACACACCATACTCCCTTCAGCCATATCTTAATACATATAGTGACTCCAAACTACACATGCTCAAAAAAAATTACTGAGTTGTCTTTTTCTATGGATTTATGATTACTGTAAAAAATATTGAAAATAATAAGAAAAGAGGAAACAGGAGAGTCCCACTAATGAATAAGAACAAACTGCTGCATTTTTCTATTTTCTTTTAAGCATAATTTTTTAGGGTGAATACCTGTAAGATTATTTTGGTTCATTAATGATTAATGATTTCCTTAATGTGGGAAGCTGCAGGATGGTAAAGCTGATTTACAGAAGTGTAGGAGTATCAGAAGTATTTTAGTTACTAAAAGAAAGTATGCTGGAATAAGATTTCTGAATCACATACAAAACTAGTTAATGCCCTACAGGACAATAAAATTATAACTTCCGGATTATAATGAACAGAAACTTTTGCATCTATACAGGACAGAATTTGCTTGAAATTTTAGAAAAATAATTATTCACATCTCTCACAGTTTTTGATAAGTTAATATCTATCCTTACAGAGTTTCCAAATATCCTAATCACTAATAGTGAATGAAAACAAATGTGTATACCCCTAGAGAATTTGGTATTCTGTGGGTGGATGTTAGATGGTGCTCCAGTATGGCAGTTCCTTTGTTATCATAAATAATCTCCAAAGATTTTTCATGATCACAAAAGGCATTGTATTTGGGTCTGATTCATTGACATAAGCTAGAAAAACTTTTAATTAGCATGTAAAAGCCTTCTTGTATATAGATAGCAAATCTAGTGCTATACTGTGCTGAACAACTGTCATTGATAAAGCCAGAGAATCAACTTCTATGATTTATTAAGTTACCTAGGAGAGCGTTTCAATGGCTTCATCACTCCAGAGGTCTTCCTTAAATGCTTTTATTTACTCTTCTGTTCTAAGGGTAGGAAACCAAACTCTTATTTATTTATTTATTTTTATTTTTGGCTGTGTTGGGTCTTTCTTGCTGCACGCGGGCTTTCTCTAGTTGAGGTGAGAGGGGCTACTCTTTGTTGTGGTGCGCAAGCTTCTCATTGTGGTGGCTTCTCTTGTTGCTGAGCATGGGCTCTAGGCCAGCACGTGGGCTCGGTAGTTGTGGCTTGCAGCCTCTAGAGCACAGGCTCAGTAGTTGTGGCGCACAGGCTTAGTTGCTCTGCGGCATGTGGGATCTTCCTGGACCAGGGCTTGAACCCGTGTCCCCTGCATTGGCAGGAGAATTCTTAACCACTGCGCCACCAGGGAAGTCCCAAACTGGTTTCATCTTTAGCACTTATAAGAGTTGGTGAATTTTTCTTTCCTCTGGTTTTCCCAAATCTGCTAAGGTTCCTGGCTATCCAGCAAGTGACCTTTTTACTGCCTATAAGGTTGGTGCCCTGTAAGCCACAAACAGGTCCTAGTTCAACTTCTTGGGAGAAGCTTTGGGTATTAGCTTCAGATATGAAGTTATAACCCTTTCTCCTTAATAAGGGGCTTGTCATATCTGATGAAGTGAGGCTAATTTTTAAGTAAGACACTCTACATTTGGCCTCTGTTGTATTGTCTATTTGCCTGATTATATTCCAGTAAAAGGGAGGACAGATTCTTATTGAGCCCATGCAAATAATGTTATTGCCATTAAAAAGTCTCAGAAAAAAATGTTTCTTCCTGAATCTGAAGGACCAAGGAGAACAAACTAACATTAAAAGAATGTTTCATTTAGTTTGCAACATCGGAGTCAACTAAATTGATGGTTAGAGATAGATCAGCATGAATGCTAAAAGGGTTTTCCCCATCAGAAGATAGAACATTAAGATAATGCCAGTAATTTTCCAAAATACATGTCCACATTCATAAATTAGATTTCCAGTTTCAGTTCAATCTGTTCTATGTAATTAATTCTTATTCCTCTAACCTTGGGTCATTAATTTGATTTCATGAAGTTATCTATTTCTGAACTAAAAGAAGTCCTGAAAATCTGATTTAGCCTCTAGTACTATCTCATACTTGTCTATGTAATGTCAGCTCTTCTGTCAGCCTCTGACCCTAAGTCCATTCTTTGAATATCAAGAGTGCAGAGTATCTGGTAAAGTTCTGTCCACGAGGCTCTGAGACTGTCTTTCTTTGTGTTAAAGGCACATCCTCACCTATAACTTAAGCAGAGTCTTTAGGAAAGCATGAGAGAAAATCGTGGACTACTGGGTGAGGGTAAAAGTAAGTGGCTATGGTTAATCTACAGTTAATTTAACAAACAGTTTCAACGAGAAAGAGAATTTAAATCTTCTATTAGGCAATAAGATGTTGATCTTATTTTTTTTAATAAATTTATTTATTTTATTTATTTATTTTTGGCTGCGTTGGGTCTTCGTTGCTATGCGCGGGCTTTCTCTAGTTGTGGCGAGAGGGGGCTACTCTTCATTGCAGTGCACGGGCTTCTCATTGCGGTGGCTTCTCTTGTTGTGGAGCACGGGCTCTAGGCACGCAGGCTTCAGTAGTTGTGGCATGCAGGCTGAGTAGTTGTGGCTCGTGGGCTCTAGAGCACAGGCTCAGTAGATGTGGCACATGGGCTTAGTTGCTCCATGGTATGTGGGATCTTCCCGGACCAGGGCTCAAACCCATGTCCCTTGCATTGGCAGGTGGATTCTTAACCACTGAACCACCAGCGAAGCCCATGTTGGTCTTATTTAATCAGTGTTTCCCCTGAGGGTGAGAACGTATTACAGAGAGTGAGGACGTTGACATATATCCAGGGCCTTTCTGTAAAGTATGCAATCACTGAACTTTATGTTATAATATTTTGCCTGTACAAAATTAGCCTAGGGAAGGCTGAGCTTCCCATTTGATTTGACAAATCTTCCTATGCATTTCTTGATAGTGTTGAGCTATTTATCAAGAAGGGGCTTAACAAATAAACCTAATTATTTCTAGCATTCTTCTTTTTGTAAGGTTAAGAAAAAAATTCTTTGTCATTGCCCAATAGTCCTCTGGGAAAACTTAAAGACAGTTCAAATGTAGAAGGTATCTTGGAAAAAATTTGTTTTCCTGAATTTAAGGTCTGATCTTGGGAAGGCGAAATCAAATATTAATCGGAGATTATGTTATTTGAATAATATAGCGTTGTGGATGCCTGAGAAAAATGAATGTTCGCAGTTTGGGTACCTAATAAAGTGAGAATAAGTTATTTATTATAAACAATAAATCTTAAAATAATCAGATGAGGAACTGTTTTTGGTCATTTTAAATATGCAAGTATATATCCCAGTTAGGACAAGGCACAAAAGATTACTCTTGTGAAATACTGAAACTCTTCTCTCTAGGCAGATTACAAAAAAAATAAATAAACTTTTGCTATCATTTGTAAGCATAGGCTGATTTCTCCAAGATAAGTAAGTAAGTAATTTCAATAAGAGATAATTGCATTTTACTTTTACAATAGGATACTTCTCACAAAAAAATTACTTCATAAACTCATCAATGTTGTTCAAACTTTGCCAAAGTTTTAACATTTTATTACATCTTTACAGAATTAACTATTTGCAGATATTATAAAGTAAGTCAAATAAGCTCCCTTTCTGCAAATCTAAAATTTTTAATGTAACTTTATTTTATTAAAGTACAGTTGATTTACAGTATTGTATAACTTTCAGGTGTACAACATGGTGATTCAACATTTTTATAGATTATACTCTACCTAAAGTTAGTATAAGATATTGGCTGGGGGCTTCCCTGGTGGTGCAGTGGTTGAGAGTCCACCTGCCGATGCAGGGGACACGGGTTCGTGCCCCAGTCTGGGAAGACCCCACATGCTGTGGAGCAGCTGGGCCCGTGAGCCATGGCCGCTGAGCCTGCGCGCCTGGAGCCTGTGCTCCGCAATGGGAGAGGCCACAACAGTGAGAGGTCCGCGTACCGCAAAAAAAAAAAAAAAAAAGATATTGGCTGTATTCCCTATACTGTACCATATATCCTTATAGTTTATTTATTTTATACATAGTAGTTTGTACCTCTTAATTCCCTACCCTTCTATTGCCTCTCCGTCCCTCTCCGCACATGTTATCACCAGTTTGTTCTCTATATCTGTGAGTCTCTTTCTGTTTTGTTATGTTTATTCATTTGTTTTATTGTTTAGATTCTACATGTAAGTGCTAACATACAGTATTTGTCTTTCTCTGGCTGACTTATTTCATTAAGCATAATATCCTCCAGGTCCATCCATGTTGTTGCAAATGGGAAAACTTCATTATTTTTTTATGGCTGAGTAATATTCCATTGTCTGTATATACCACATCTTCTTTATCCATCTGTTGATGAACTCTTAGGTTGCTTCCATATCTTGGCTATTGTAAGTAATGCTGCTATGAACATTGGGGTGCATATGTCTTCTCAAATTACTGATTTCTCTTTTCTTTGGGTATGTACCCAGAAGTAGAATTGCTGGATCATATGGTAGTTCTATTTTTAGTATTTTGAAGCATCTCCATACTGTTTTCCATAGTG